GGCGCGACAGCCTGACACATTTCCCATCATGCATTGCAGGATTGGAATACCTTCTTATATATTATCTTAGTTTAACCAATGTAGCCAAATTTCAAATATATTACAATTTAATCACTGGTCGCGCCATCTCTTAGAGTCATTTGAAACTACGTTGTCCTCCACGACGTATGGTAAAACTTCTTTCGGAATTTTTTCATTTCGGTGTATTTTTATATGCCCAGATTAGTAGCAGAGTTTGGCTTATGTTTACCCTTGTACATGCCGACAAGCTCTGCTTTATCATACTCTAAATTTACGACTCTAAACTGAATAGGCCACATTTGTATTTCTTTATTCAATTCTGCTCCATCAGTACTGAAATCTATAAGCAATTCAGAAGGAATTGATTCTAAACTTACACGATTCAATATTGATTTTAACATTACTTCTAATCCTAGATGTATATATTCTCCCGGAGCAATATGCTTAATCTTAATTTTATCTCGCGGAGTCTTCAATAATGACCGGGTATCTTTAGGTAAGAATTTTAATAGCGGATGAGCCCGTAAAACATTTAATAGTGCATTACCTTGAACCAGATTAATTTTATTATGAACTATGCAATGTGAAAGATTTGATTTTAATGTCTCTTCTATAGACAAAATTCCTGTCGGTTTATAAATTTTTTTAGGCTCATTTGCTCCCAAATGATTATTACTTTGTAAGACTTCGTGTGTTTTTTCACTGTTACCACTGTCATTAACTTCTAAACTGATATTACTGTTATCTAAAAAAGAAGGAGCAGTATTATGCTGTATAAAATCAGAAATAGTCACTGTCTTGTCTGATGTCAAATTATCGTTAAAATTATCTATTAATATCGTCGGCGTTGATGCTGAGACTAAATGATCAATGTTAAAATTATTATTATTTGCCTCTGGTACTAAAGAGCAGCCAGTGTCAGCAACAATTTCAGACTCGCTATTTTTCATAATATTGACACTAATTATATCATCATTATTTAGATTGTTAGAGGTAGTTGAAGTTGAATTTGAATTTTCAATATAATTTAACTTTGAATCTAATGAGTCAAAATATACTTTCCTACGCTTGCGCTTCCCATTGTTTGATAATTCATCCCATGCTTTCCGAACTCCTGGAAGATTGTCAAGATGGAATTTAACTGGGTCCATTTCGTTTTAGAAAATTATTGACCTATAAATTTAAATAAATATAAATTAAAATTGATCAAGTACATTTTTTCAACAAAAATAACAAAAGTACATTTGTCGTACATTGTTCGTTTAAAATTAACTTTTTTATTGTTATTAATTTTTCAAATTTTAAAATTACTAGCGTAATTTCTCACATTGTTTTCTTTTTTTACTTTGATAAGTAAGATTTATAATGATTTATTATTATTTTATCAAAGCAAATATTTACATTCAATTAAATTAATTATGATATGACAAACTCACGCTACGCCCATACAGCACAGACTGCAACAAGTATTAATTAATTTGATTTTAATTATATATAAAGATTGGTTGAAAGTAATTACCTGGAATGAAAAATTGTAGTTTATTCTTCTTCCAACTTACTTAATATTATATCTACCGTATAATAAATTGCTTTTTTTCTGAAAAAAAACATCAAAAATGGCCTCAGTGGTTATGATGTTTACAATTACACTTGGCTTCCAGAAAGTACAGTGTAGTTACGTCTTACGTATATGTTGATGTATATGTGTAAAGTATCGTATGACGCGCAACTCGGATTAGGCTACACACATGCACAGCTTTTAGCCGCGCAAATTTTCGCGCATACTCTCCTTGACATTCAATAATTTTAATATATAGTTACTCCAGCCAAGGAGTGATTCCCCTACTCCACGTTTTTACGAGAATTATTCAGCCTCACTGACTTGACCAAACGGTTCTTTAGCTGAAAAGACTTTACAGTCAAGATTCCTTGTTCTGGCTACGGGCAACCTCGTTGAGTGTAACTAAAATACAATCAAGCGTCACTGTCACAAGTATTTTTTTTTCGCGTGCTATCAGCGGACAAATATTATTTATTCATTAAAATAGTTGCATAAAAAGTCGTTTTAAAAATTTCGGATTTTCCTTGAAAGAATAATTTACAATTTAGAGTTAGGATTTTGTGTAAAAGATATTGACAAGATGTCTAATTTAAATAAGGTTAGTTTTGTGAGATAAATTAATGGTACAATTTGCATGTCATTTATAAAAAAATTTTATAATATTTTG